GAGAGAGGTTTGTAAACTCAATGAACATAAAAAAATTAACTGATAGGTAATTGAAAAATTAAAATAAATATGTATTGAACATTGTCGATTCAAAAGTATCAGCTTTTCAGCTTTATTTATGAGTAAGTGGGGAGTTGTCACAAGATAATGAGTCAAGATGATTATAAACAATAAAAAACCTTGGAACATAAATGTCTATCGTTGGTTTATTGTAAAAAGTCAATAATAAGTATATTTCATTTTACGTAGAGCTTAAATTTTAAGTACGTTTATATAGATTTCTGTCTTACTTATCGTTATGCCGCATGCATTAGCATGTAATCATTATTATGACGTAATGTGTTGTATGTATAAGTAAATAAATGAGAAAAAATATATATAAAAAGACCAAGTGCCTCAAATAACAGAAACCATATTATATACCAATAATATTATATACCAACATAAGTGCACAGTGATCAAATTCCACAGAGGGATGGTTCATCAAAGTACATAGCGATTTAATTTTACGACATGTGACTTAATGACTTTCTGAAATAAACCTTACAATAAGTAATAGGTCTATCTTTTCTTCCAACGTCTTTTTGTTGAAACTATAGTTAACAAAAGTGATAATTTCACTCCGATCATTTTTAATAACACATCATTTCCAGTCTCTGAGCAATATATATATGTATAGAGAGATTTGAAAGTATATCTCTAAATTCAACCTATAAATGATTACGGATTCTACGCCTATCAGTTATTAAACTGTTATTTTCCATTGTAAAGTTCACTAGAAAGAAATTAAGAGATTTTCATCGCCTGTCATAGATAGACCAAACGAAAAAGTATTCACTAATTTAATTTTTAAAAGGTTACACGGCGATTTTTCGGAATAAACGGACTTGATACCTAATTATTTAAATATGATATCAGATCTAGAATTATTAAACTACGGTAAATGTACTTAAGGTAATAAACATATGTTCTATTTATCACTAGTATTTCCGGAAATTCATTTTCGACCTCAATAAACATTTTCCTATTTCCTTCAATTTTTCAATTATCGAATTCTTTCAAAAGTTATGTTTAGCATTTTTTCGTAACTTTTAATAATGAGAGATGGTTAATTACTTACAATAAACCAAATTAAAGGTACTTTAGAGGAAGACATGTTGCACATTTAAGCTCAGTAAAGTGACATCAATGGGGATAAGACCTCAATGATACTAAAGGCCATTTAATTATACAATGATACACCTAGTTTAATCGAAATCGTTGGAGCCGTTTTTGAGAAAAATGTGTACAACCGTTGATATAAAGTGCCACTTCCGGTTGGCCGATTTCCAGGAAAAATTTGCTGTCACATCTAGTATATATCATGTATCTATCTTAAATACGTAATGCCAGTTTCGTACCACTTTTTGTTTTTTAGTTAGACACACAAATTCGAAAATTTTCACGATCGCTATACTTTCCTTTAGTATATATTACATATATACGTAAGCAAAAGTAAAAAATCCAGGATTTATGAAAGTAAGTAAAGTAAAAAAGCTTAGTTAGCTATCTTCTTTCTTCTTTGGGGACATTTTATGGTTATGTTATCATTAAGGGTCCAGGATTTCAGTTTGGGAGGCTTCAACCCAAAAGATTTTTTTTTATGTATATATTAGTATAATTACTTCGGAAGATAGAAATAAACTAACTATATGAAATGATGTTTAAGTGATTCTTTAAGTCCTATTAAATGTAATTAGACGAACAATAATACTTTTAGAGATAATTTTTTCATTGAACATGATTATATTTTACCATTTTACGGCAGGGGAAGAGATGAAAAACACACAGACCGCCACAGGCGGATTTACGGGGGAGGCTTTCGGGCTGAAGCCCCTCTCCCCCAAAAAAACAGTAAAATGTAACCATGTTTTATAGAAAAAAATATTAAAACCTATCTGTTAAAGTATTATTGTTCGTGTAATTGCATTTAATAGGACTTCAAGAATCACTTAAACACAATTTCATATAAGTAGTTCATTTCTTTCTCTTATTTTTCAAATTAATTATCGTTATATAAATATGAAAAAAAATCTTTCGGGCTGAAGCCACCCTCCCCCCTCCCCCCACCCCAAAAAATAAATTAAATCCTGGATCCGCTAGTGCAGACCGCCATGCGAGACTTGATTATTTGGACTCAGGGATCCTCAAAATGTGTATTTTTGTTAAAACTACTATTCAAAATTTTTCAAGATAGCAATACCTACATTCCCTTACTATATATTTGATATATAGGCAAGTGAAATTAAAATTAAAATGTTTTAACATATTAATCATAATTTCAAAACAATCGTTAAATTATCTGAATGAAATCGAAATGTTAATACAAATACGATGATAAAACGGATGCAGTAGAAAGTATATTCATTTTGTCGATTTGAATCTTTTTAATGGATTTATACTGTTAATGAGCAATTGAGTCCTTAAAAAATCAATTTAATTTTTAAATTATATAAGAACTGTTTTATGCTTTTTACAGTTATATACCGATAATATAACCGATTCATTGTAAGTAAACTGTGATTCTTTTTTTTCTTCAGGTCTTCTTAAGTAGTTTTCAAGAGCGAACTAATATCAAACGAAACCTCTCTATCGGTTATCAATTACTCTTCAAGATATAATAAAAGCTATTTATAATTTTTTAGACCTATCAAATAAATTATTATTTTACCCATACATACATATACATAATATCATTACCAAGACATATTTTACCCAATATTGTATTCAATAATTTATTTTAGAAAAATCAATTAAGTATGCCTAATGCAATAGAAATCCTTCGAGTGTTAGACAGAGGCAGATTCGGGAATTTTCCCCGAATGGGGGGGGGGCGCACTTTTTTTTACTTTTTTTGTTTCGTGTAGCGTTTTGCCATAAAATCGCAGTAAAATTCTTTAACCAGAAAATTGACGTCTATGGACCTAAAACACAACTTTTTTAAAAATATTTGTTTCCAAAAATTAAATTTAAAATAGTTCCAAGCAAATTTCCAAGTGGTCACAGCTCTCTAGGAACTACCTTTAGCAACAATCTTCAAATATTTCGCCAGTAAATGAAGAATGTTTGGTGAAATATTTATATTTTACCAGTTATAGGTTGGTTTTGAGTAAAACCTTAGGGCAGGGCAGCCGGGGAAATCGCCCCAGGGCGCTAATCTGGAAGAGCGCTCTCCACTAGTAAGAAATAAAAAAAGTTGCAAAACGTATTAAAATAATTAGTTTTAGTCCATTAATAAAGCAAATGTATTAGAAAACTTGTTGAATGCAAATAAATTCAAATATTATATAATATAAAGCAACTTAGGAAATAAATGTATTTATTTTGGGGAGGAGGGAAATGACGTAATTGCCCGGGGGCGCCGAACGTCTAAGGGCGGCAATAGTAAAAATCATAAATAAAAATTAATTATTTAAAACTATTCAATTTTCAATTAAAATAATAACATTAAAAGTGACGGTACTGTGGTTACTTTTCTCAAAATAACATTTTTTTTTCATCTTCCAGGGGGAGGGGGAGCCGCGTCCTCTCCACGCCCCCTCCTGGATCCGCTAGTGGTGCTGGAAACAATATTACTGTAGTGATATTTTATTTTTTAAATCTGCAAGGTTTATTTCTATTTTACTTGTATATATTTTATTTGTTCTCACCCATAAATAACGCCGATACAAATCTGATCTTAAATAACATCACTTTTGAAAATTTTTAGATAATTATGGTTGGTTGATAAAAAAAATAAATAAATATTTTAAGTCCCTAAATATGAATTTAAAAATACTAAGCAAATAAGAAATGTAATTATGGTAATCCTTATATACTGAATAATTTTACTGCATACTGAATAATTTTAATTAAATAACAATCCTGTAAATCTCTCATTTCATTATTTAATAAGCAAGTTATTGCTTCAATTTACAATGGCCACAAAAACCAATAAAAATTTTAACAATTTATTCGGAATAAATTTTGAGTTCAGGATTTTCATCCACTCAATATATACTATACAATCAAGGAATGGTGTATAAGTAAAAAAATAGAAAAAGGGAATGGAAGTTTAATACTAAGAAATGAGCATCCATATTTAATTTTATGAATCAAATAAAAAACGTGTTTAATTTTCAACAACTTTATTCACTTTTGATCGAATAATAAAAGAGAAAACCAAAAACGTTTTTCTAAAACTGAAATTCATTGAAAAATAAAATAAATTAAAAGCAATAAAAAATTCCATTCGAAATGGTGATATAACTAACGGAAGACAATGTAAGTTACTATACTTTAATTTACAAATATTTGCAATCTATGATAATATATTTGGTAAACATCGTATGGATAGAACAGGACAATTCAAAATTAGGAATCGCTATAATCAACAGATTTCAAATTATCACTTGTAACAACGTAAAGGTTTTGAAATTATACAGCAACTATCGATATATTTTAATATATGTGATATATATTAATAGTATAATATATTATATTGTACATATTATGATATAGACGTACTCACATTTTGCAAAACATCCTGACAGAAACAACCTACAACTTGGGAAGAAAGAGCAGTAGAAGTCACCGGGAAAGACTGACTCCATCCCCACTTCTCTTCACGATTTGATTAGTTCCATTATTGCAATCTTTATCACTTTATTGGCGGGTTGATCTCCCAATACGTTCGCTAATTTTATTTGCATTTTTTATCACATTAGTTTTTAAAAATAAAATTAATTACTATGAACGAATGGTAATTAAATTATTACACACGATTATTGCCAATATCTTAATTATATCTGTACACCGAAAGGAATAATATACCATATCATTTAAGAGAAATCAAATATAACTTTTTTTTATTGAAAATAGAAAAAAATCCTTTGAATGGATTAAATTTTTAAATTAGTTTGCCTCAAAATAAAATAAGCACAATTCTTTTTACAATACAGTCTCATAGCATTGGCGGTAAAACGGGATCTAATTAGCGCCCAGTGACACTTAATATCAATATTATTCATGATAAGAGCTACAATGTTAGAGTTTTTTTTAATTGAAGTCTATGAATATTCTTCTATGATAAATTTAACATGCATCCACCACATTTGTAATAGCCCAGGTATTTGTATTTTAAATATGATTAATGAAATATGAGTACTTTAATTTTTCATATATAAATTGTAGTGGAAAATAATTAGAAAAATAGATGTACCCTATATATATATATATATAGTAATCAATACTGTTTAATTAATGATTTTCATTAACACTAATTTATGTGAAATTTGGTCAATATTTTATTTTGCATGTGTTTTTCCCTATGATCTGATAGTATGTGAATATCTTAGGTCAAATAATAATAACAATATCATAAAAGATATTTATGCACTATCAAGTCAAGAGGAGGGGAAAAAAATCTTGATGAAATTTCAGTATTTACTAAAACAGTGATAGGTATATCTAGTAATTCTACTAATATTGCTTAAAAAAATGTACAGTTTCAATCATTTTAGTTAGTGTTCAACCATGAAATACATCCTTGTTTCTAAATTAATAAAAAACACTTATTAATGTGTTCCAGATAAGAATTCAGAAACCTCTTTTTTTTTAATATAATTGATAACATACAGCATTGAGACTACATTCAACTGGAATATATGAACATAACATTCAAATGAGGGAAAAATCAAGTAAAGTTGAGGTAAGATACAAATTTTAATACTTCTATGTCATCCAATGATTAATAATATAAATATTTTTTTTTTATTACTATAAATGTTTTACTTCTTGTTTTAAACGGGTAAAAATATGAGACTCTTAATAGGGCCAGGTAACATTATTTGAAGTCAATGTAACTCAACAGATTCATTGCAATCAATGTTTTAAAAAGGTCAATAAGAGTCAATAGGCACTATGTGACTTCAGAAACTATAATTGTACGATCTCCTTCTCTCTTCCTATATCTCTGAATACCTCCAATAATAATTTGGCACCATTACAAAGATCAATCAAGATGAATCAAAGGTAACAAAATTTTATTGATCAATCATCATTTAGTAACTATGAATAAACCTCTGATTGTTTTTATATATACATTGATCTATTAAAGATTTATAAATCTTTTGTCAGTTAGCTAAGGTTTATAAATCACAATTATTTCATAACATAAAATACATAAAAAAAACTAAAGTAAATTTTATATTTGAGCATTCATACTTTTAAAAATTATTCAGAATAGGTGTAGAATAATTTCTCAAAAGAAAACCACACATCAATCTATAGTTCATCGTAATAAATTCCATCATTTCTAGAAATCAGGCCCAAATCATCCAACAGTTTAAATATTAAAAGGATGGGAAGTATTTATTTCACTAAAGCTTGTATTTTATTTGTCAAGTTAAGAACTGTGAATATATATTTCAATACTCAAAAAACATGTTGGTATCATATTAATATACAATTTTGATATTAGAATACATACGTACATTAGAATGAATATATTCAACATTAGAATATGTAAATTTTTCTAATGATCTTGATCTTTCAAGCCAATCAATTAATTAATATTTGTTAAAGTCAAACAAAACCTTCAAATAGTATCAATGTTGGAATGTTGGAGAGGTTAAACGTATTTATAATCAAAACAATGTTTTGGGCTTCATCAGAGTGACAAATTTGATCAAATCACAATACTACCGAATTCTGGAGTAGCCACAAGGCCTAAACATCTACACATATTATAAATAAGTTTTAAACTTATTGAATGGTGTCACATATGGCAAACATTTGTCAAATATAGCAGCCTCACTACACAGTCAATATTGATTATTGATCACTTAGGCAAATATTTGCCTCACGTGTTGCCATGATTGTGTTCTTGACAGCACCTCTCAACTAAACTCCAAATTTCTTGAAAACATCAATATACTTTTTTAATTTCATACAATTGATAATTGTACTACTTTGTAGCGAAGTAGCTCAGTAAGTTAGGCACTGAGCTGCTAAGCTCTAGGTTCCAGGTTCAAATCCGGCTGATAAAAAGTAATTTTTCATCAGCGGTGGATCGATCCTGAGGTCAGGAGACCCTTCTCGGTCATACCCAGCCTCTATTAAGTGGGTACTCCTAATTAAAATAATCAGAAGAAAAGCTGGTCTGGTGGTTGAGCATGATCCTGGCCGGATCACCTCCCTGCACAACCGTTGGCCTTGAAACAGTACTGAACCAAAGACCCGTCATGAGTTGTACTGATACAGGTTTCTTTTTTAATTGATAATTAGAACCTTAGTAGAAAAACAAGGTAAGTCCAAAATAAAAAAAAAAAATATTAGAATGTATTTTTGTCAGTGGATAATATATGTTTTGATTGGCACAAGAACCCGATACAAATCCTTTTCTGCCTGGTGATTAATGTGGGAAAAACTGTCATCTGTCGTTCGAAAATCTCTAATAAGTTGATGCAGAAATCAAGTATTTCTGGACATTGTTTTTGACACAAATGTTAATGAGTATATACCATCTTGAGGCAAAAATAAGAGTAGTTCTGAATTTGCTGATTTATTAGAACCTTAATGGTGGAGTCTTTTTAGCTTCCTTTACCTATTTATGAAATATTTAGTAAAGGAAAGTATTGTGATCCTGAAACATTGTAAGTCCAAAAAAAAACTTCACTAAATGATCTGTGTGTGAACAGTCTACATAAAAAAAAAAAAAAAAAGGTATGAAACAGAAATTATATATTTTAAAGTATGTATATGTCTGGAATGTTACAGCAAGTTTTTCACCAAACTATTAACCAATAATGGCACTTTATGTCACTAAATTTACACATTTCTTTTATTGAACTCATTACATCAATGTAAAATCAAGTGATCTTTAATATCAGGCATTTGTTATCTTCATTGAAATAGTCTGAGGTCTTAAATGGCGAATTATCTAAATTTCTTCCTGTTATAAAGTACCTTCAATTTTATTTATTTAAAAGAAATAATCATTTCACATTGTAAATAATAATAAAAAAATGGTTAAATATTAACTATGAATGAATTTGAGAATTAACTAAAGGGGAAACAAGGGTTAGTCATAGATAGAAACTGAAATCAAACCACCAGAAATTTCCTTATCTCTCTTCATTCAAAATAACCACTTGAATACACAGGGCTTCCTATTATTTCTTGTCAGTTTAATTGTTCACTTATTTCACATAACTTTCAAAAAAGATTTTCTACCGCAATGTTACCTCTAATAATATATTGTATGTATGAGATGTGTAAATTAAAGTAATGAAACTGATCATTTTTTTTTTTTTATTGAAATCAAATTACAAATTCACCTTGTCTCCTTTAAAGTAACTAACTTAGGAAGCCACACAGTACTGGAGACGATTCTTCCATTCCTCATAGCAGTGCTGGAACTCGGAAACTGGAATAGCCTTCAGTTGGTGGGTTACGGCTATCAGAATATTATCCAATCTTCCAAAATGTCACCCCTTGAGGTAATATTTTAATCTTGGGAACAGAAAAAAACTATATGGACTCAAGTTGGGTAAATGAGGCTGAGGAGCCACAGGAATGTTTTCACTGACCAAATACTCATTGATAGAAACCGCAGTGACAACGATTATTGTCATGATGCAACACTCGCATGTTTTTGGTGGTTGGTCTCACACACATAACCCTTTTTCAAAGTCTCTCGAGAACTTCTCGGTCTCTGAACGATCTGAATGCATGAGATCATAGATTCTACCAAAACTTTCATTGGTTCTTGAAGATGAAGGCCTTCGACTGGGAGGCTCGTGTTCAATTGATTCTCTTCCTTCTGCAAATCCATTAAACTATCTAAAAACCTAGTAAAAGTTGTGTGATGTATGGACCACACCAGGTTTTTTAATTCATATGGATCTAACCTAAAATTTATGAATCTGGACTTACCAAGATCTTGCATCAAGGCCCTTTAATTTTCAACATATTTAAAAATGAGTGGAAAAATCGGTTATAGGTTCAATTGTGTTTGATGTAAACCTGAGCGTCTGCATTTATCGTAATGAATGTAAAAATATGAAATGAACCATATGCACCTAAATAACAAAATACTTTCTCCATATTGCCCTTGACTACTATCCATTTGTGGGTTGTCTTTATCATATGCTTAGTTACGAAAATGTCTTTTAAAATCCTAGAATATTTTCACAAATGTATGTTGCTGTATATTCATGTTTTTTGTAAACTATTTATTTTCAATTAAAAAAAAGTAATTTCCATGAAGAATAATTAACATTTGAAATTCTACTACCCATATAAAATGGCACTGAAGAAAATTCAAAGACTTTTCAGGAATTGAACTCATACATCTATAGGTCATAGAGACAATTCAATAAACAATTACATGATTTTTTCTGACCAAATCCGGTGGACCATTTCCTTCTTAAATTATACAGTCAACCATCTACACATAACATAGAGATAGTTGTTAAGCTTGATTCAATCATATCAGTATTAAGCTAAAAACTTGTAATTTTCAGATGGTTAATTCTTGTCTATTAGCATTTAAAAAGGATTCGAAGTCCTACATAGACACAACAGCAACAGAAAATTAGCTGAATTTAGGTTATCCAGTAATAGAAACACAGATATTTTCAAGTAAAAATAAATTTTATTTATATATAAATTATTCAACTTGTAATTAACAGAGCAAAAAGAGTGAAAAGAATATTCGTAATAAAAAACAGATCATAAGAATTACATATTTACAATATCATAAATGAAGAGAGCGGGACTTGGAATCAATCCAAAAAATTAAACTGAGAAAATTATTGAATTGAAAATAAAATCCTACTTTCTTTATCATTATAAAAACTATATAAAGGAACAATTGCTATTTTATAGCTATAAAATATTTACAAAAATATAAATAAAGGAAACGGACTTAAAAAAAGTCCAAACTTTTAAATTAAATAATGAAACATAGTTCCATTGCAAGTCATATCTCCAAATTTCGAAATAGAAATTCAGAATGATCAACAAATATAATTTGAATTTGGTCTACATTGAAGTAAAAATTCATTCCTCAGGTTTGTAATCATCTAGAAATCTCGCTGATGGATCTTTAACATTAGTCCATTTAGGCATCCAAAAGTAAGGAGTCAGATTAGGTGCTTGTCCAGGAAAATGCTTTTCGAATATCATCCTAAAACATAATATTTCTTATTTAACAGCTGGAACACTTAAAAGTAAAAATAAAAAAAGTTCAAAGAAAAAAAATTAAATTTGACATTATTAAATCATATGGATCTTACTATGAAAACGATCAATTCATAGGTTTGGAATTTTAAATATTTAACTCTAATAATCAAAATATATGACTATAAGTTCCATTTAACTATTCTTGTGGTGAGCTGTTGGATTCTCTATTGAACTGTTTCTTAGAATTAGAAGGTACCAAAGAAAATTAGTAATTGAACAGAAAGAATAATATGGGACAGTGTGACAAGTTAAATCAATAAATTTTCAGGCTTATTAAATCTCAGTATATCTGACCCAAAGAAGAAAGGCTTTAGCAATTAACTTTTCTTTCTTTTTTTTTATGATGAATGGTCATTTAATAATTGGTACCAAATTTATGGTTGCTGATCTCATTGGATGTGTCAGCAAATCATCAATATATTACTTTCAACAAATGTTAATCACTCTTATACTTCTTTCAATTATTTTTTGATAATCAACAAGTCTTTTTTATCTATCAATAGTTTGATAGGAAATAAGCTGATTGGCTGTGAATTAAATCGCTGACAATTTCATTTAGAATTGTAGGAGCAACATTCTATTACTCATCAGATGATTCTGAAGCAGCTTTTACGAGGTCAAACTAAAAAGTATATAAATGTTATATGCCCTTTATTTATTTTTTTAATATGAAAATAATAGTTAATGGTCGGAATAACAGGTCTCATGATGGTACGTAATTTTGCTTGATTTCAACTGTTGGTCTCTACCACAAAATTGTTATTTTGATCTTCACAACTTTTTTACAAAATTGATATTTTCTGATCAGATATTAATCTTATTTAGAATGATTACTCAATTTACTTCAAGTTTGAATAAGAATAATCTGTATGTAAAAAAGAGAAAAATGATCATGCACTAAGAATATAATTAAACAAATGACCAACTTAAATTACCTGTAATAATAAGATTCCTTAGTAGTAGGTGTGATATGGGGAAATAGTTTTGAAGCATTATCAAGTTGCTCTTGTGTAACAAATGGATCTATTATGTCTTGAATAACTTCGAACAAAGATTTTTTAACCGATGCGACACCATCGCTGTAAATGAAAAATCAGTCAAACATATCATAGAAATTAAATTTATATAGAAACCTGAATTTTTAGAATAATATCAAGAAACATACATTTAATTTTGAAAATAACTAAAGTACTTTAAAATACAACAATATTTAATAAAACATCATCAATACTTAATTATTCCTGAATAAAAAAGAAGTTAGTAGTCGCCATACCTGAATGCCTCTTTATGCCTCCATAAGATGTTATTAGGAAGAAGGTCTATACCAGAAAATGCTGACCTCAAGAGGTGCTTTTCAACTCCATCAATAGGTTGGCGCATTTCAGCTGGAAGGCTGAGGTAATAACTTGAAAACTGTAGGTCAAGGAATGGAACACGGAGCTCTAAGCTGAAAATTTATAATATCATAATTCGAGTACTAAAATAAATTAATAGCTTTATTGTTAAGTTAAATCGGGACAAAATAACAACAATATTACCTATGAGCAGATGTTGTTCGATCAGCACGAAGTCCATCATAAAGATAAATATCATTTAGAAGTCGCAGTGATTCTTCATTACCTGCCTCAAGAGTAGGTGCTTTTCGAAAATAGATATATCTATGAAAAAAGTAAAAATAGTACATTAACTAAAGTTTTCAAACAAGTAAATATCTACATATAATAAGAGTTATAAAATTAATAAAAAGCTTAATTATTTTTTTAATGGTTTTCAAGTGCTTTTATGCAAATAATAAATATTCCAAATATTAATTTTTTTTTTCTTTTTGGGTTATATTTAAAGGTTTCAAAATAAGATTTTGAAGAAAAAATTGCAGTAACATCAGTTATGTACAAACCTTAAATATGCAATTTCAGTTGCGTACGACTTTTCATTTTTGAGCTAGACTGATCAAACACACACACACACACCAATTTGCAGGACTTGGTTATTTGAGTTCAGGGAACTTTAAAACATATATTTCCAGAGAAAACTCAGGTTCGAAAATTTTCACGATCGCAATACTTTCCCACACTATATAGATAAATAGATAGAAAGTAAACTTTATTCTGGGACGAGATCCCTTATGAATAACAGATATGAATAAAAAAAAATAAAAACTACATCCGGCCAAAATTACAATAGTCAATATTAAAGAATATATACAGTATCTTCAGTGAAATTATATTAAAACAAGTAAAAATAACACAATTTTGAGATTAAAAAAATTATTTAAATGAAAATAAAACAAGCATGGGTTGATTTTAAAAATTAAAACTCAATCAATTTTAACAACCATTCACCTCAGTCAAAATCTGTTTCGCAATATTTATTTTATTGTATAACGTCATTTTGGGATGTGAGAAGGAATTGGTAAGGATGATATTTAAATGAGGACAAGGAAGAGGCATGGCGGATATCAGATGGCAAGGAATTTCAGAAGGCTGTGGATCGGGCAATAAAGGAATATTCAAACGCCTTAGTTCTATGGGAAGGGATATAAAGGTCGGAAACACGGGATCTTGTTTTCTGGGAGTGGACCACGGGTTTAAACTGTAGGAGACTGTCGATGTAGGAAGCGTGTCGGGTGTTGATCGTTTGGAATAGGAAAGATCCAAGGAAATATTGTCTGTGGAAAGAAGGGAAGAGCAACTTTAACTCGTCGTAAAGGTGGGACACATAAGACCGCCTCAATGTACCGAAGACAAATCTTAAGCACGTATTCATGAGTCGCTTCAATCTATCCTCGAGTACCATCGAGATGCCTCCGTACACCACACAGCCGTAGTCAAAGTGGGAGAAAATGAGAGAGGATACAAGGAGCTTGCGGATGGGTTGTGGGATTACATATATAGGAGAGAAGTTTTTATAAAACACTCATATCTCACAATTCTAGAAGATATTAATACAATTTAAAACGGACAGGATTTAATTGTTCTTAGCAACATTGACCAGAACCTGATAAAATTTTAAGTTGATATAATTTTTCTCCTATCACGCCTGTTGATGTAGAAAGATCATTTGCAAATGATATGAATGATGATAATATTTTTAATGATAAAAAGTTAAGTTTTACAGAAGCAAATTTAGAAATGCATCTGATGATCAATTTTTGCAGACTAATTTAAATTTTTTATCTATTTTACTTTATTTATCCCATAAGTTGTTAATTATGTTATAGTTTCAACAAAGACCCATGTTAGATTTTTATCCATTAACAAACAAAATTTCCATTCTTTGGTTTAGATATTAAAAAAAAAAAACTGAAATTATGGTAATTTTTAACAACTCCATTCATATTTATTTCAAAACATTTTAGGCACATCATTCCTTTTTTAATTCATTAATAATTTATTTGGTACTAGTTCACAAGAGTTCCGCACGGATTACGCGTGGTTCACAATCAGTTCGATCACACTTGTTCCTGGAATCCCGAATGCGTTCGTGTTTTCCCGAAAGAGAACGAAGGCGACCGATCTCTTGGGCCAGTTACTATTAACTTTCCCGCCATTTAAGTACTTTAACCTTAACCACGTTCAGTTATATAGCAGGAGCAGATTTACATTCGAAATTTAGGCTACACATCATGAAACCTGAATTCAGCTTGTACATATATTATAGATCTGTAAAAAAGAAATAGTAATACATAAAAATCTTTAATTATTACATCTCTGGCTGCTATTTCACGATATTATTTTTCTTATAGATGATTTCCAATATTCATTATCTTGGAATTATTACATATTCTTCGTCAGTTGTTTCCGAAATACGTTAATTCCTTTCTCGAAAATAAATTTTTTTTTTTTTTTGTACCATAGCCTACAATAATCCCTTTTTTCGGATTACCAAGAAAAATAACTGCGAATAACAATAATTACACATCATAATTACAAATCAGACAGTATATGCATACAAAGCGCCCCCCTCCACTAGAAAATAGCCCCTCATATTATTAGAAATCTAAAAAAATACATAAACTAGATAGACGATTGCGCAATTCTAAAAAAGGCTTGCTAAAATAAATTATAAATTCAGTTATTCCAACTTCTATTGAAAAACTCGAATAACAAAAAAAAAGATAATAGATAACTTAATTATTTATTATCCAAATGATAAAAAAATCTTTTATACACAGTTATAGAAGATAATATACAGTATATGCGTATTTACAGCCACTACATGTAAGCACTAGCGGATCCAGGATTTAATTTTGGGGGGGGCTTCAGCCCGAAACCTTTTTTTTTCATAAATATAACGGTAATTACTTTGGAAAAACAGAAAGAAACTAACTACCTATATGAAATGGTGTTTAAGTTATTCCTTAAGTACTTTTAAATGTAATTACACTAACAATAATACTTTAAGAGGTATTTTTTAAATTTTTTTCCCATAAAACATGGTTATATTTTTTCCATTTTGGGGGGGGGGGCTTCAGCCCAAAAGCCCCCCCCCCCGTAGATCCGCCCGTGCATGTAAGCACGTATCAATAAAAATGTTATTACTAAAAGCTTTTTTTTTTTAATAGGGCTTGAAAAAACTACTCGAACATTTTTTATGTATTTTTTTCTTTTTCTTTCAAAGTAATAACCGTTATAATAAAAACTAATAATTAACTAATTAGTAAATACACAATTTTTTAATAAGGAAGTTCTATAAAGGGAATACGTTGTATTTTTTTTCAAAAATGCATGAAAAGGGATTGTATTATGGGGCAATAGCTGACGTCATAAAAGACGACAACATTCGGCTGTTTTCGGGATTCCATGAACAAGTGTGATCGAAGTGATTGTGAACCACGCGTAATCCGTGCGGAACTCTTGTGAACTAGTACCATTTATTTTATTTAATAATTAACAGTAATTTTAGCATATTTAGAGACTAGTTACTGCATTTTTCATGTGTTTTTTTTACTGCATATTCCATATGTGGGTTTTTACTGCATACAAAATTGGGCCTTACTTATAAGGTATACTTACATGAAGAACAATAAATGAGAAAACTTACCCCTGTGATAATTCGTCCGAACCTTCACCACTGAAAATAACAGTTGAATCTGTTTTCTGTTTAATGTACTCTGACAAAATGTACATACCTGAAAATATTAAATAATAGTGAAATCGGATGAAGATTAAGAGAGTTAAGAAAAATATTAAAACTAAAAAATTAATTATTAATGTTGAAATGCTACCAATGGGTTGTCGAAATATTGATCTTAATTCCTCAGTTTTTATTGTTTACAAGGGACACTCAGATAACCAGAATAGTTGATAATCCGAAAACTTATCAGTTCCAAAGTAGTCAGAATATAAAGATTGAATTGCACTGGCATTTGCTTAATTATTTACTACAGCAAATTTCATGAGTATTTAAATATAATATAACATTTACCAACTGAAGCTCTGATTGTTGTGATATCACAAGTTTCAAGATGATAAATAACGTTATCCAAAACATCTTTTACAGTTTCCTCAGTAAAAATAACTTCATGGTGGTCAGAACCTATGTGTTTCGCAACTTGTCGAGCAGCTACGATATCTGGTGAGGTGCCCATTCCAACAGCAAAGGTCTAAAATACAAAGCAATTAGTTATTTCATTCATAATTATAGTAGACAACCACAGCATTAGTAATAGAATTTCAATGGACTATATGCTAACTGATTATTAAGAAAAAAATGTATATAAATTTGAATAAAAAAAAATTATAGTGACAATACATATAGTTAAAATTTAAATTGCTTTATCCACATTTATAGAACAGTTAAACCTATTAATATTACTTCTTTTTTTTTCTCTATTCATACCTTCATCTGCATCTGTCATGAAAGTAACAATTAGCATAATTAATGGGAATATAGATTAAAATGGCATTATAGGAATGAGGAGATATTAAATAAATTTGTTTTTTTAACAAGAATACTTCTGTGCCAAAGGTAAACTATTTAAGTCCAACTTTGCTGATTAAAATTGTTTTATTGCAAATAAGCCAAAAAGGTAATAACATATGCAACACTTTATTATTAAACACAATATTAAAGTTGATTTCTTTTTATTATCCTGTAAAACTTTGAAAATGTTACTTAAGTTAGTTTGCTTCTGATGTCCAATATAAATTTAACGAAATGCCAACTGACCAATAATAAAAAAACTAAATAAATAAAATATTAGTTGCAATATGTAAGTAACAAAACTGATTATTATAGTCTTCATATCAATTATGTGTTCTGTCTAATAATAGCATTGATCTTGATACATAAAATAATTTTTGGATAAATTATGAGAAATAAATAAGAATCCAATCCCTTACAAAAAAAGTTTGTGAAATGGGAAAATATTGAGACTTATGAGTTCTTAGAAAGTCAGGAAAGTCCTTTACTTCAAACCAGCTTTTCTCTAAACAATAGTCTACTCGCCCTAATTTTGTCTGAAAATAAAAACAGTTTTTTTTTCTATTTATTATGAAAAATATACCACCGCTGAAAAGTCAAAGGATGGATGGTGGTCCAAAGGAAAGAATTTGGTACATGGTGATAAAATAGAACACATAGATTGTTTTATTTTTTCTGTTCTTCCCTACCCCGTCTTTTAGGCTATAATGAATTTTCCCGGGTCGGAGGGTGAGGGTGGGGAATTTAAAATCCCCTCTGGTAATGGGAGTGTGAACTCGTACTTTTTTTAGTTTCATAACTTCAGTTATCTGGTCGCCAGGTAATTTTCAGTGTTGTGCACACATGTTAGCCCATTCGGCCACCCTATCCTCAATAGAACACATAGATAAGCTAAAGATGTGTATCTACAAGTTAACCAGAAACTAAAGACCAGAGGACACCAGCAGGTATTACAAAGTAGTAGACAGGACCACATTAGATATGTATGAATATATATCAAACATTAATTTAAATACCTGAATTTTATATTCCAGACCTTCTTCTTTTGCAAGTTTCATAAGTAATGCTGCAATTAAGCTTGAGTCAAGACCACCGCTGAGCAGGCAGCCAATCCTTCTTTCCGACATTAATCTCTTTCTAACTGCTTCCGTCAACAGCAGTCGAATGTTTGCATGGACATCATTTTTAAGATCTGAAAACGTATAAATTTTAAATATAAATAATTTTGCATAAGTTACCTAATTATATCATGAAATATTAATAAAGATAAAGCTATTATATACAGCTTGATAAGTAACAATTGATAGCTTAAATAAAAATAAAGACTAATTAACCACAAACAAAAATATTTGCAGAAATATCTGTGAGAAAAAGATGTAAAAGTTGAAATATATTGTTTTATTTACATAAAATTAGAATTTAAAGTGATTCCTCTAATGCCAACATTTTAAACAGTTCTGCTATCATATACAGATAAGCTATTTACAACTGACAGCTATATTTTAAAAGAGTAAGCTATTAACTAGAATAGGTAGAATATGAAACATAAAGAGCTTATCAATAAATAGTATTATAAAAAATTCAAGGTTCATTTGACTTATAAACAAAAGGATTTTCTCTAAATATTGTTTATTGGAAGAATAATTATAAATTCACTTAATCCCAAAGATAGGGATTTTCTATATCAAAAGGAATAGGAAAAAAGTTTATGGTTGCAATAAAACTAGTGCATGTTCTGTTATAGTAATAACACAACTGTAGTAATAAAACCCTCGTGTTTGAATGATTGTGACTAAAGTATTTCATAAAACAAAAACAGTTAAAACTACAATACAAGTTATTGTAAAAAAAAAAAAAGTTTACAGTTTATTCAAGTTTAAAACAAGGTTTTTTTCTAGATTATTTAAAAAGCACTGAAATCTATCATTATTAGTATTAAATTAAAATATTAAAATTAAAAATACTCCAAACAGTAAAATACCTTTACAATATTTTTCTTGTAGAGTAATAGTTTAGAATGTATTAAATTAACTGTAACAACAACCAATTAAGCCTCAAAATGATTACAGATAAACTGTGATAGAAACAGAGATGATAGTGGCTAAGTGAGTTGAAGTGTAACCTTATCAAAATTAAGTCAGAAGTTGTGCCAGTTTCATTTCAGCCTGGAAGGCTGAAAATTGATTTTGTGCCAGACCCACGGAATAAATCTCAATCTTCCTGCTCAGATTAGATCAAAATAGAATAACTGTCCCAAATGCTGAGCATACAATAAACATACAAGTAGTAATATATTCTAATACATAGAGTATAAAAAATCTGAGGATATGATGAAAGACATCAAGTTAAAATATTAAACAAAAGAAATAAAGGAAATACTTGTAATTTCTTTGTCATAAAATAACTCAGAGAGTGTCAATTTTCTAATATTTAAAAAAAATTAAAGGTAATCGAATAGAATATTTGTTGTGAGGTATAGCTAAGTATCCACATTCTTTGACTGAAATAAAATTTATAGAAAAAAATTATTTTATGTAAGAAAATTATCTAACCTGTATAAGATACAAAAGGACGAAAAATAGGCCTGCTTCCAATGGTATAATACCTTTCTTCCTTAACTAATTTTACTTTTCCATCAGACAAAATGTCATACTCAACAAAGTGTCCAGGTGGGAACTGTTTTAAAGACCATTTGTCACAAAATCCATTTTTCAATTTATCTTTAACCAGTCTCTTCAATCCAATCAAGCCTGTAAAACAATCAAATCATCATAATCTGATATGGAGATGACAATATGCAAAATCACTTGATCCCTTCAAAAACCATGTCAATCAAACTGATATGTACAGTAATAAACTTAAGATTTATAACTAATCCCTTTATTTGCCAAGGGTACAGTCATATTCTTTACTATATAAATATACATATGCTCTGGATATAAATATACATAACTATAAGAGGGGATTGGAAAGTAAATGTTTTAAAAATACGGTGACTTAGCTGATCGCCACAGAACCTCCCTTCTTATCTCTTGTTATCTTTCCATTACTTGTGCTTAATTCAATTTTGTTATTTTCTGTTTAAAATGGATAAAATAACACTTTGGGAATTGCCCTCTTCGGAAGAAGAAGCTGTCAAATACTTTCAGAAGTTCAGGATAATTCCAAATGTGAAATTGTATGAAGAAGGTCATGAAATGGAGTTTGACAGGAAGATCAAATGGAGATGTTTTCGTAGGAGTTAAAAGAAAAACAATTCTATAAGAAAAGGAAGATGGTTCGAGGGGTCAAGAATTACCTTTTTAATGGCTTTTAAAGTTTATCTATGGCTGGCCTCATAATTTAACAATTGAGTGGGGCAAAGAGCAGCTGAAACTATCCAGCAAAAGTATGGTGGAGCGGAACACATTTTTAAGAGAGGTTTGTGCCCATAACATATACAGGTCAACTTAGATAAGAGGGCGTGGAAAAGTGGTTGAAATGGACGAAGGTCTTTATTCTAAAAGAAAAAACCATGAAGGAAGAGAACTCCCAGAACAATGGATGTTTGGTGAAGTTAGATGAGAAACAGACAAGTGTGTCTGTTTCCCACCCACAAGCAATATATATTTGTTAGAAGATAAGATGACATTGCATGGTCTATGGGACCAACAAAAAAAAAACAAAAATCATTGAAGCACATATGTTAATACTCGTGGGGTAAAGTGCACCTCCTATCAAATCTAAAGGCTGTGAGTTTGAATACAGGTGCTCAGATTCTTTAAGCAAATTTATCCTCTCTTCCCCCCACATATGAGGCCCATCAGCCTATTGGAAGATTGATCAATCTCCTTGTACCCGAGGCGTTGATTGGAAGGACACTAGCCCCAAAGGCACTGGCTATAGAGCTATGAAGAGCCTATCACAACATGGAACCCACGGTTCATAGCAACGTGAGGTTTTATGATACCTACCCCTCTAGGATATTTCTGCTCCTGTATCTGTAAGGAGAAATAAATATCTGTAACAAGATCACATCATGTGGCGAAACATCCACACAAACTTGAGTGCGAACTAAAAAAAAAAAATTAAGAATAATACCTTTGCCTTCCGAACTAAAGCCAAGTAATCCAGTGCCTTTTGCCTCAAACCTAAACAAAGGTCTCACACCATACGGATCCCTGGCAGCATAGACTTTGCGGTTTTTAGAATCAATAAGAACAAATCCAAAAACTCCATCTAAATTAGAAACTGCATGTTTGATCCCTCCGCGAGCAAATAATTGTGTGACAGATTCAACATCACACCTAGTTTCATATTTGATACCAAATTCCTCTCCAAGCTAAAAACAAGAAAATATAGTTAATTAAACACAGAACAATTTGTCTTAAAACTATTTACTTAGGTTATATGCTAGATGCTTGTTTAATGGTATAGTTATTAATTTTGAATATTCTAGAAGTCTGTGAGCTTATAATTGAGTACCTGTAAATAGCTAATTAGACTAGAAAAAAAACCTTTATTAACTGTGTCATAGGAAACAGAGTTTCTCAAAGAACGGAAAAGCCGTTTACTTCACATCTTTTAAAGTAATCCAAAATTGAAAATGAATGCATATTTATACATGACTTACTTAATATTAATATAATTTTTCTTTGAGTATCATTTATGGACTATATTAAGCTTATCGGTTTTTAATTATTACATTCAAATGTACTTTATTTTGAATATAAGGATCATTATACATTTATATAACATTAAGCTTTAGGATAAACTTTCCTAGAGAAATAAAATAAAATAAGATACCCTTCCAAAATTGTAAAGTTCTCCATTGCAAACTAATGTCAAATGAGGAAATTCATGAAGTATCATGGGTTGCATTCCCCATATACTGTCCACAATTGTCAGTCTCACGAAACCAATACATGCTTCCTATAGAAAAAAATAAATATAATTTCTGCAAAATAAAAGTTAAACTATTTCAGTTAGATGCTTCTTTGTTGTGCGAATTAAATATATCTTTTTTTTTAATTAAAATTAATATTGTATTATTTTAAAATGTCATATATCTATATTTATGTCATCAATTTTTTTTTTCAATGTATCTATCTTTATAAATAGAGACAATATAAGTATTTTATGATCAATTACAGAGCTGACATATGCTGGAATGTACCGGTGTAATGTTACCTTTATTCTGTTGTCAAACTGAAGCCTCCAGGCATCAGGTCCCCTGTGCCTTATTTTACAAAAGGAATCATCACAGTAGGTAATACTGTCGACATCGTGCCCGAAAATCGCCCAAATACCACACATGTCTGACCGGTTGTCTAGCGACTGAGCAGCTGACTGTCCGCGACCTTCTTAAATACTGAATTCGCCAGCGATAGCAAACCGCGCGCCGATTTAACACGTGGTAGGGTCAAAGTTGTTAACTATAGCTTACCATTAGCAAAACGCGATCGTAGAATATTGGGATGTTTGAAAAAATAATTATTCGAACGTAGAGTAGTTCTTAAATATATCTATGATATTTTATTGTTATTGTTTGTTTCTTAATTGTTTTTAAATCAACTCTTATTATTTAAATGCGATATTGCTTGATTACTAGTGCTAAATAAAGCTTCGGGGTGTTATTATTACATGACCCATTTAAAATTAATCAGCAGATAAAATGAAAGAAAAAATACTGCCTAATACCTTATCAGTACTAACTTATTTGTTTATAATTCCTATCCGATAATATTTAAATGCTTGGTAAATAAACTAACGTTTTATTTTGAATAATATCAATAGACCTTAAGAACACATAAAATATACCAGCATCTAGCCTACCACATAGCAAATGTATATTCTCGTTTTTAGATTACGAATGTTTTACTTTTTTTTATGTTTAAGTAATCGAGCGATATGTTCGTCCCATGTAGTAATTTCAAAATAAAAATATTTATTACAGTGCGTCTAACTTCATTTGGTTATGCATGATGCAATGGCAAAGCAAAGTGCATCACACCGGAAGGTGTTTAATTTCAAACAGTCGAACCTCCTTCAATACTCACTAACATTACATCATCTAACACTTAAAGAAGTAATTAATGTTTAGGTGCTTAGAGTCTTCTTGGCTTTAGTTTTTACTTCTTATGAGAGATCTCTCATACTTTTCTAAATTTCCAACATATTCAAAAGTAGTTTCCCTCATATCTTCACAATCGGTTCTTTGTTTTTTCTACCAACTATATATATATTTTTTTATCCGCGTTTATTTCAATGAATGGTTCTCTTCCAGTATCCATGTATAAACAAACACAATATTTGAATTTTCATTTAACATTGAATTCTCTTTGTTTAACAACCGTCACTAAACAAATCGTTTATGTACATACACTACTCTATATAGTTTTTACGTCAATAATTAACATGATTTCACAGACAAATTCACGTGATAGAGTTTCAAATACGCAGACAGTCCTAACATAAATAGAATTATAATCAAAGATGGATAAAATACAACTGCGTTTCATCTATTTATAAAACCAGTGAAACATAAAAAATATTTTATTTCAAATTTTCACTTACGTCGTCAAGGGCATGGTCCGGCAGAGAGACAATTAATGTAAAAGTAGCGGGAATAAGTCTTTATTTCATAGTTAGTATCTTTCAAAATGTTAAAATAATAATCACCAACCTGTCGCTGTTTATCAATTTTTCAGAATTTTGTTATTTATATTTGTTAAGTTTTTATTTTAAATTTTATCCACGTTGGAAGTTGCCCCCTGAATGTACCCATGTACGGTATTAATAAATAATGACAGTTAAAATTTTAAAAAAATATATATTTGTCCCGTTTTATTATTTATCATACACCACTTCATTGGCTGAACGGCATGGAGCACACTAGTCACTAAGCTACCTTCCGGTCCCTTCCACCAAGCACACTGTTGCCAGATTTTGAAACCTGCGCCATGCCATTGTCGTTTAAAAAGATATCTGTCATTTGATAACTTATCGAGTATTTTTTAAAAAAATGGTGGTATTCGACTTACCCTTGAGAAACCCCCTTTCAGTCTCTAAAATTAATTTTTGGAACTTTTTCAACTCGATTTGGAGCCTACCTTTACATGGAAAGTTTTTTAACTTGGCTTCTTCCGGGAAGGTATAGTAAAAAACCTAATTGTATTTTCTAGCATATTCCTGTAATACAAGTCTACTGTTTCTATACTTAAATATAATTTAATAGGTGACAATTATTTGTACACATACATAAAACAAGTGAAACATAAAACATATTTTAATTCAAATTTCCACTTTTGTCACGGGCGGATCTACGGAGGGGCTTTGGGGCTGAAGCCCCCGCCCCCTAAAATGGTAAAATATAACCATGTTTTATGGGAAAAATTATTAAAAAATTATCTCTTAAAGTATTATTGTTCCTATAATTACATTTAAAAGGACTTTAGGAATCACTTAAACACCATTTCATATAAGTAGTTAGTTTCTTTATTTTTTTCCAAAGTAATTATCGTTATTTTTATGAAAAAAAAGCTTTCAAGCTGAAGCCCTCCCTCAATTAAATCCTGGAATCCGCTAGTGATTTATGTTGTCGAGGGAATGGCAGCCAGAGGGACATATATATATTATATATAAATATATATATAATATATATATATATATATATATATATATATATATATATATATATATATATATATATATATATATATATATTCCTTTTTTATTTTAAATTGTATCCATGTTGGAAACTATCCTCTGAATGTGCCCATGTGCAGTATTAATAAAAAAAGACAGTTAAAATTTAAAAAATTGTCCCATTCTATTATATATGTATTATATTTCATAACCTAGCTGTACATCTCTAAATGGTATGGTATGACTTCACAAAATCTGGCCCTTCAATCTAAGTTCTTTTCTCTATATAGTAGAAGTGCTGAATATCTATTATTGGACAATAGACTCCCATGGATATCAATTCAAACAATTGTTATTGTCCTTCAACCTCGTTGCCTTCTTTTTATACGAATTAATTTTATTACAACTACAGCTGAAAAATATTCTCTTTATTATAATTGTAATAAATGACTGAGAAGTTATGAAAAGGCAATATATGATAATGCAGTGATTAATAAGTATTATACAAAATAAATAGAAATAAATGTAACAATTTAGTTTTTATTAACTTCGATTAACAAATAATTAATGTACATTGCAAACTAAAAACTGAAGTTAATATACTGCAAGAAAATTTTTTTTATGTTTTTTAATTTATGTTAGTCTTATCAATTGTTATAAATAACACTTACTTTATTTCAAAAATGTTAAGAATAGCACATTTAATGTTTAATCTTTGTCGGATGACTAATTTGGTATTATCAATAAATTATTTTTAACTCTTAACTAGTCTCTTTACCCACCTCGCATCTATATAACACAATAATGGATTTAATAATGGCATATATACATAAAAATTCATTTGAGCACGAATCACATAGTTATAAATTAATTATAGATGATTGGATTTTCGTAATAAATACTATGATTTTTATTGCCCTTCCTTATACATAGCATTAACATACATAAAACAATATAAAAGACAGACTAATATAATAAGTAAGACCAAAATAATAACAGTAAATTTTTTAACATCCTTTTAATATGTTGTGACAATACAATCATGAACAAAAAATAGGTAAATAAAAGTAATCATAACACAAAATTTGGAAGTTCTTATTAAAAATAAAAACTTTTTCTGGCAAAATATATTTTTTTTATTCTATACTTGCGAACGTGCTTTATGAATATTTCTGTTATATTTAGCAATAATTGTGATGTTCGCATAGGCGGATCTACGGGAAGCGGGGGGGGGAGGTAGCTTTCGGGCTGAAGCCCTCCCAAAATGGTAAAATATAACCATGTTTTACACACAAAAAAATATTAAAAACTGTCTCTTAAAGTATTATTGTTCCTGTAAATATATTTAATAGACCTTCAGGAACCACTTAAACACCATTTCATATAGGTAGTTAATTTCTTTCCTTTTTTTTTCAAATTAATTATGGTTATATGTATATGCAAAAAAAATCTTTCGGGCTGAAGCTTCCCAAAATTAAATCCTGGATCCACTAGTGGATGTTGGTGCTAATACACAAAAACCAATTTTTAGTTTTAGAATCCTATGGGTGAGTATATATATAAACACGCGCACATATATTTGTATACATTTGTGCTGTATTTTTTCCTAAGTATGAAGAAATTTCAATAATTAGATGATGTTTTTGTTTTACAATACCATGGTAAGATGTTTGGTTAGAAATACTAATAAACTGGTTGCTTCTACTCTATGTGAGAAATTTCTTGGGTATCACAGTTTATTTTTATTGCAATTTTCAATCCATCTAAAATCATATCTATTTAAAATTATTTCCATCTAAAATTAATTTTAAAACTCTTGCTATCACTTAAATGCATTTCGGGCCAAAAGTGATACTTTTTGAAAATACTCAGTCAACTTGGAGCAAATGTGAAATTTCTTTTCGAAAGAACTTGGTATGAAAAACAGGTGATCACTGAAAGAAGTAAATATTCATTTCTTATCAATGCTATGTTTTATGGGTTTTTTCTTATACCATTAATAAGGCATTCATAAAATAAATTTAATTTTTGGTATTGTTTTGTTTGTTTTGGAATAATTTTCTCATTTCACATATTTTTTAAAAAATTATTTAGAGGTATGAATTTAAATTACATATTATACCTAGGCACCAGTAAAGCTTCTTCATAGATCAGCTAAGAATGACAGCAAGTAAGGTTTTTTTTCTTTATTATCCATTGAACATGATGGATTAAGTTATGCAACTGTCATATTATTTTTAGATTCAATGAATAATCAACCATGCTTATACCATAATAAGTCTTTATTGGTTTATATTTTTATCTATTACTCCTCTTCGTTTGTAATAAATCTATTATGCATTTGTCCAATGGTTAGAATAAATGAATCAAATGAGTCTTTGATTGCAATTTATTGAAAGTTTCAGGGAATCTTTGTTCTCCTCTTCAGCGAAATATTATTCTCCCAAGAAATTGGCTGTCACAAAATTTAATACAATAAGATTGGTTCAATGGTACTTAACTAATTTCTTGGGTTCTCCCAATATTGCTCAAGAGGGGAACAAAGATGCCTTGAAACATTCAATAAATTGCAATCAAAGACTCACTTGATTAATTTATTCTGACCATTAGGCAAATGTGTCATTGAGAAATGAATAAAGGTCAAACTTGCATAATGAAAAATCTATTATGATTAATTTTTACACAAATGGTTTTAAATTAGCGCTACAATGATTGAAATTGATCCACAAAGTTTTTCATCACTTAAAGAACAAATCACTAGAGAGGTAGTCAGAGACAAAAATAGGAAGATCAAGCCATGAATGGGCTGGTATGATCGTTTAGGTGTGAATATTGTACAGGAGTTAATCAAGGAACTAGTGCAACTCTCTTTTGAGTTATTGACACTAACTAAGCTTGGTTGTCTAGCCTGATAATGATTTATTAATTAAGAGAAGAATAGTTGGGGTAGTCAGTAAAAAAAAAAAGGCAAAAATAAATGATAATATTTATTTTAAATATTCAACCATTTACCATTATGGATTTATTAATTACTTTATTTTTCAGGTTATCCCAAAAAACTATTCTTCTTCATATATTTCTGTTTTTATTTACAAAACAAAAAATATTATCAGGATTTTACTAATTACTACATTTTTCAGGTTATCCAAAAAAAATATTCTTCTTCATATATTTCTGTTTTTATTTACAAAACACAAAATAGTATCAAGATTTTACTAATTATTATATTTTTAGGTTATCTCAATAAAACTATTCTTCTTCATATATTTCTGTTATTATTTACAAAACATAAAATAGATTCAAATTCTCATATAAACATATTTTTTAACCCATTTTTCTAAAATAATATCATTTAGTATTTTTACCTTAAATTAAATAACAATTGTTCAATTCAACAATTGCAATTATCTTTCCTACTTAATGCGGAACAAAAATGCATAAATTTTTTCACCCTCTAGCAATTATGATATACTAAAATGACAAGTTGAGATTTATATTGTATAATGAACAAAATATAGGTAGTAACATTTAAAGTGAAAACATTTATTCAAAACCATACATACTTTAATTCAAGTCTACATGGATATTATTAATAAATTATAAATATCACTTAAATTATATTTTCATCAAATGGTAACAAAGGCCTAATTTGACCATATTTTTGGAAAAAAATGTGAAACCACTTAAGTCCAAAACATTTTGATTTAGGGTTACTTTATCATTGCACAAAAATTGCTAATGTTTTTCTAACCAATACTATATCAATTTCTACAACTACTCTATCAATTTCTACTTTGTTTTAGAAAAAAACAAACCTCATTATGATGGAAATTTATTGTTTCCTCCTGAAAAGTAGGGATTTGACAGTTATGTGATTTTACACTTCTGCCGATATGAATAATTCTCAGTCACCAAAATGGTATAAATCATAATTTTTAAAAGATTTTTTTAAATATTAAAAATCTTAATGAACTGAAAAATGTTACAAGATACCATTTATATTCTCAAATTTAATGGCTTGATTAAAATCGTTAGATTATTTTATATATCAAATGCATATCTCTCTGAGATTAAATGATCTACTTTGTTTAGTAGGTTTTATTGTAACTTAGCTGTCGTCCATTCTAATTTTATATATATATCTATATATATATATATATATATATATATATATATATATATATATATATATATATATATATATATATATATATATATCAAATACATATTTCTCTGGTATTAAATAATCTATTTTGCGTAGTAATCATTCCTCTAGCAATAAAAAATAATACTGGTTTAGTGGAATAATACTTTTAACCTTATTCAATAAACATTTTAAAATGTTTATTATGGTGCTAAATTAAAACAGATTAAATTATGGTAAAAAAACAAACAAAGCTTTTCAAATTAGTGTAATTTCAAAACTTAAACAAACATTTAAAATTTAACCAAGCAAAATTTAAAGATAATATACAATAAATAACACATGGTTATTTATTGTATATTACAGCTCCTCTTTCACTGTTCCATGTACTGATTCCAGGACAGCAAATGCTTTCGACCAGAATTCTACTACTTCATCAAATGGAATATTTTCCATTTTTGTTTCTTCAGTTTGGATATGAAGTAAATTATCTCTTGAATAGAGATTCCATTTCACAGGAACACCTTCCAGATTAGGATTTCTGTAAATTTAAGTCCATAAATAAAATAATCAATATGTAAGAAAGTAGACAGCTTTTAAAAGTTAGGTTTAAATCCTTATTTTACAAGTCACATTTGAGGTTTAATGCAATAAAAACAAGTAAAAAAATACAATGAGTAAATGCTGAAACCACCAATATCTTTCAGTAGTGCCCAGTAATATTACTATTAATGAAATCTATATGTTTGTTATTATTTAAATAAAAAGTCTCTCATTCCTGATATATATAGTACATGTTCACTCATTACCTCCACTTTGACCATGGCAATTTACAGTGGCCTCGAGTACAATCGACATCCACACTTGGCTTTCAGATTTTTCCTCCATTCATGTAAAGTGTCAAATACTCACTTTACAGGGGAATAAATTAGACCCAAGATTGTTGTAAATTAAAAATTTAAAATAAAATTGTCAACAGTTGCCAAATCCAATCCTGAGCAAGCTGTTAAGAACTCAAAGCCCTTGGCTGCTCAGCTGTTTCCTGCCCCACCTCTCACATTTAACTGAAGGTTATGGCAACAATATATAACTCATGAGATGGAATATCTATAACAAAGGATAAACTTACCGGCTCTTCCCAAAATTAACCCAAATTTTTACAAGAAGTTCTGATACTTTTTTGTCCTCGAGTCTCCCTTTACTCTCAGGGAAAATAGTAGACCAGTCAAAAAGACTCAACAGCTCATCTGCATGAGATGCCACTGAAAGAATAAAATTAGGTTTATTATATACAAATTTTGATAAACAAATATAGAATGTAGCAATGGAAATTATATTATTTTATATTTCACATTGTTAATAATAAATCAACAATATAAAAATTGACTAAAAACTAGATTTAAATATCAAACAAGCACAAGTTTTAGTCATTTAGGTATTAAAATACTGAACCATTGAGATGTAACCCAAGGAAAAAATAAAATTGGGAATGCATTCAATTATAGGGCCATCATTCCACATCAAACTGACTAACTAAAAATTATTTTAGGCTCAAGCTTTTTTCAAAATCTTCAGTGTATATGTATGTACACGCACATGCACACACACACATACAAATGTTTAATGTAGTTGCTAACAAAAAAATTGTTTATTTTTAACATATTATTTGTTTTGTTTTTAAAATAAATTTTGATCAAAATCAACATCAAATTAAATCAAATTGAGTTATATTTAAAAGTAGGTATTGAAAAACTGTCAAGGACTTATAGAACTGGAATTATAACATTTTGTGGAAGTGAACACGTATAAACAAAGTGATATTTTACAATATTTACCTCAAAAACTTTAAGAGATAGACTTTTTAAATAACTATTTTTGAATTCAAGACATTTTAAGATGGAAGGGACCTATTTATTTTTTCTAGCCAGATATGGAATAACTCCTATTAAAACTAAAAAGAATTAAGAATTCTCTGGGGATACAAACTCAAAAATAATTTATTAGATTACTTTTTATTTGTTAATTAATTATAAAAAGAGATAGTGTGAGGTATTGCAAGTAAAAAACCAAATAAAGTCTTAGGCAAGTTCGTTCCTAAATTTTATTAATCCATTTTATTCCTTCCCAAAGTTTATCAATGTGGAACTGCCAGATCGCCAACACCGAGCAGCCATCAAATTTTATAGAATGAGGAAAAATAATCAGACAAAGATGGCAGACAAAGATGGAAGATTAGTGGGCAAATTTCAAATCTGCAGAGAGCAAACAAAGTAGACAGGAGTCATCACCAAGATTAATACAAATATGAAATAGATCTTTAGAAGATGGCCGAAATAAAAAAACATTATAAAGACCTCTTAGAGAGTGATCCTCCAAGTGAAATCTCTGCAGGCGTGCAGATTACGAAAAGTGTGTCCAGTGCCGAATTTGATGTCCATCGAGCTAGAAGCTGTCAAAAAAGCTATTAAATCTATATCAATGGACACATCACATGATAGTGTTCTGATCTGAACAATTTCAGAGATAATGATGAAGGTGGTCCCATTTCCAGTTCGTCAGGGGTGCACAATATTCATATATATTGTGAGCTCTTTAGAAGCGAGAGGTGTTTGCCAGATCTTAGAAATGTTATATTGGCACTCCTTTGCACAAACACTATCAAAATAGGTAATGGAGTTTAGCAAACTAGCTAAATCAAAGTGCTACCCCAAGCACCGCCTGTCTTCTTCGCTCTTCATCAACCTGGCCATTGACCATCCCTAGCGCGACCTGTGAGATGAAAACTTTTCCAGAAAATTCGGATATAAACTTAAAAGTGGGTGGTCCTCACAGGTTTCATGGGTGACCAGGCTGTATTGGTGTATGACATGAGGGCTGCAGAAAGAGAGATTGGCATTGATTATAGTAAAAATTTAATTCTAACTAACAGTTTAAGTGCCATCAATAAATTATGAAATCAAAGTTATAGTTCAAAAGCATCAATTTAATAATTTCAATTTTAGAAAAAATTCTTTTTATGAAAGACAAGGAAAAATAGTTGTATTTGCTTGGATTAGGAACCACACGGGTATTAAAGGCAATACATCAGTTGATCATTTAGTGAAGGAATGAGCAAGAAGACAGGTTGTTAAATTTCACATATCTTTTTCTTATATCATAAATGAATTAAAAATTCCGATGAAGGCCAAATGGCAGGAAATTTATGAAAAGCAGAGAAAAAGGGTTGTTTTATAAATCTCACTGCCCACTGGTAACAATAGAACCCTGGTTTGCTAATAGCAAAGGTCCTACAACTTGGATAATAATAATGTGCAGATTAAGAATCAATCATGCTGTATCAGGTACCTACTTACATATGATGAAAAGAAAAGACACAGATTATGTCATGCATTAAATATGCTGCAGAAAGATATCATTTCATCAATAAAATTAAAACTCTATTAAATAAGGACAATCCATCTTATATTGATGTAATAACAAATCCTAATTCTGTTCTGGAACCGTTATCTCACTTCGTAAACTCCATAAATAATAGTAAATTATAAAAATTAAAAGTCAGTTAATAATATTAAATATGATGCTAATAATGTAATAATAATAATAGTTAATGATGCTAAATAATCATTTGGATTAAATAATATTTAAAATTTTGGCTAATGGCATTTAGCTAAAGCCTTTTATATACAAACAAAAAAAAAAAAAAACAGTTACGAAGCCAATTTCCAAAAGAGGAAATGTACGACAAATGTATCCCATTTCTTAAGGAAAAGTCTGCAAGATTTTTGGAGAGAGAGTTTTAAACATAAAAGGCGTTTGGTATGGAGCTCAGGGAACAATACCAAACTTAACAAGGAGTTTCATACAGAACCTTGGTATCAACTCGGAAAGGTTAATGTAGCAATGTTCACCGAAAACATAGTCCTTGACTCCCTGTGAATCATCCACCACCATATGCATGGTGATGAGGGATAGAGTAAGTGGGAGGACATCTGCATATTGTAACATTTTTCAATTATTTATTTCACATGTTTACTACATTTGCATATATAAATTTAATTTAGTTTTAGTAATATGTGCACTTTTTTTATTTCTATTATTGTATATTGTTTTAAACACTTAGCATTTACCATTAGAAAGTAGAAATTAGGTTAAAAAAGAAAAACAAGGTATAATAAAAAAAATGCATGAACAAAAAAAATATGTTTACTACAATCATATATATATCGAAATGACACTGTGTATTTATATATAAGTTTTAAAGATGGGCTAATGTGATTAATAAGTATGCTGCGTATGTAGTAACCCAATATAACTGGGAAGCACTCTTTTATGGCAATAAAGTGTTATAATTGTTACTAAAAATAATTACTTAATCTGCTGCAAAAAAAAAAAAAAAAAAAGCAATACTTACTTGGAGAATTTAATTTTACACCTCCCATCCTATCAGCTAAACTGTTTTCAGCTCTATGACTCAATAGGTAGGCATATTTTGGTCCAATGTGTCTTTGAAGGGCTTGCACCATTGGATATACAAAGAACAGATCCTTGTAAAACTATAAAAAAAATTAAATAAATATGAATAAAATCATAAAATGAGCAATCAAAAATTGATTCTAGACCACAAACGATGAATCTATTCACTCACTGATGGATAGAAAACTAAAGATTTAAAGAAGTTATTTTTACTCTATTTCTATTTCTACATAATGATGATTTGAGCAATATAAGATTATTATTATTAATCTATTTCATCATTTTTTTTTTTTTAGAGAAATTACTTTATTGTGGGACAAAGTCCCTTAAGAATAACAAAATGTTACAGAACAAAAGAATACTTCTGGCATAGAAAACTACATGTTATTCTACTATCCAAGAGAACTATGTTATTCTATTTTAAAAATTAAAATATTATGGTTGACTCAGTGGAGGAAGTGGAATTCTGTCAGATAATGAGCTTATATATAGAGGCATTCCGGTACGTGCAGGAGAGACTCCTTCGGCCCTAGTTGCCAGTGTGGGAGCTGGTCTCGGTGTTAAGATTAACATCGAGGACATCGATTTTGTGGAGCGCCGTAGACCTAAAAAAGACGACCCTAGACCACCACCAGTTATAGCTCGCTTTGTGAGGCAGGCAGTACGAGACGAGCTGGTCCAAAGAAGAAAGGTCAAAAGGGACTTCTCAACTCGAGACATCGGCTGGCAGGAAAACGACTCCCACCGGATATACCTTGGTGAAGAAATGACCCCTGCTAATAGAAGATTGTATTGGCTCGCACGTCAGAAGAGAGCGGCTGGTAAACTAAAATACGTGTGGTTTTCGGCGGGTAGATTGCGCTGCAGAAAAGGAGATGGCCACCCCGTGATATACATCGACCAAGCAGATGATCTTGATGTTTTCTGCTGACCTGATTTACGTCAACCTACAGAATGCATCCGTAAACTTCCAATCTTCTATTGTATAATACAGCATCGTGCTGGGTTGCCCATCTACTACTATTGTTATTATTGTTTCTCTATTTTAACCAATGTAATTTTTTGTTTTCTCCTCTTTCATATTTTTTAACCTAACTCTATTTTGTTTGTATTTTTTTTCTTCTCTTACAGCCATTATTTACTTCTTTCTAAATTGATTTTCAGTTTCAGTTTCAGTTGAATTTCAGTTTTTTCTTACCTACAGCGTCATCCATCATATGTGTACTTTTCTCCTCTCCGTTATGTCTAGCGTCTTAACTACTTGCCATGTTAATTCTCAATCCCTTCCTGCTCACTATGACGAATTTCTCCAATATTTCACCTGTAACTTCTACCACATTATTGCAGTCTCTGAAACATGGCTTAAGCCCTATATCCCTTCCTCTTCCGTTTCCTTACCTGATTATACCTTCATCCGTCATGACCGGGTTTCCCAGACTGGCGGAGGTGTTGTCTCTATGTTCATAATAGCCTGAAACCCCGTATTCTAGATATTTCATCCCCTTCCAATCATCCTCACATTGAATTCCTCTTCGCTGAAATTTCTTGTAAAGCACATCCTCTCCTTTATGTGGTCGTATATCGCCCTCCTTTGACTCCTTTTGACTCATCCTTCGAATCAACCTTGTACAATTATGTCCCTTTCTATAATAACATTATAATTTCCGGTGATCTTAATACCAACCTCCTCACAGAATCCAACAACAAACGCTATTTGGAAAATCTCTTCTTCTCCCTCAACCTTTTTATTGTTCCTTTCGCTCCTACACACCATACTTGTTGGTCTGACACCTGGCTGGACTTGCATATCATCGATTCAGAGCAGAAACTCTTGTCCTGTTCTCAATTACCCGTTCCTTTCCTTTCTTCTCATGATCTCATCAAATTATCGTACGATATCCAAACTACCACGTTTCTTCCTAAAACCATAACTTTCCGCAATCTTGACAACCTCACCCGTGATAAAATCCTACCAGACCTTGAAACCCTAAACTGGAACGATATTTATTCCTGTACCTCTATTAATCATATGGTAGACATCCTCACTTCTAATCTTATCCATATTCTTGACATACATGCTCCTATCAAAACCTCAACCTTCCGTCGCCAACCTGCTCCTTGGATGTTTCAAGAAATCCGCGACATGCAAAAGAGACGTGAGGCAGCCCGTAGACGCTTCAGACGAACTCGACTAGCAGATGACTATCAAGTCTATAGGGTACTCCGTAACTTGACACAAACAACGATCAGGAAAGCGAAATCAAACTTCTTTCACGAAACTCTCGCTTCTGCTCCTGATTCTAAATCAATATGGCTAACCCTTCGTAAACTCTCTCTTTGTAAATCCTCTTCCTCACCGTTCTACCCGGTATCACCCGATGAACTAAATTCCTACTTTATATCTTCCACCACCAGCAACAGTTCACCCACCTCTCACCAGTTTTCCTTATCACCCTCATTTAACAGTGATAATTTCTATTTCTCCAACATCTCACTGACCGACCTTATTTCCTCTATAATGAAATCACACACAAACTCCATCGGACTTGATGGGATATCAGTCAAACTATTAAAATTATGCCTTCCCGAAGTCGTTCCAGTTCTCCTTTTCATCTATAATTTTTCCCTCCAGAACTCAGTTTTTCCAACTGCTTGGAAAAAAGCATTAGTCAGACCTATTAACAAAATTCCCAATCCTACCTCTCCTAAAGACTACCGCCCAATCTCCATTCTTTCTAACCTTTCTAAACCTCTGGAAAGAATAGCTCAATCCCAAATCTCTAAATTCCTTGAAAACTCAAAACTACTCGATCCTCTCCAATCTGGTTTCCGACCTGGCTTCTCCACACAATCCGCCCTACTAAAAATTACCAATGACTTACATACCGCAATGGACGAAAAAATGTTAACTGTATTAATACTTCTCGACTTTTCCAAAGCTTTTGACTCCTTAGACCACTCTATACTCTATACGAAATTAAAATCTCTATCCTTCTCCAACAGCTCTATCCTCTGGTTACAGTCTTTCCTATCCGACAGAACTCAAGCAGTCAGCATTCCAAACCAACCCCTATCTTCCTTTCTTACACTGTCCTCTGGAGTGGCCCAGAGTTCGAGCATTTCCCCTCTCCTTTTCAACTCCTACATAAATGATCTTTCCAAATCCATCTACCACTGTTCACATCATTTATACGCTGATGACACCCAAATATATTTTTCCTTTCATCCTTCTGAGCTACTAGTCGCGTTCGCCAATATTCAGGCTGACCTAGATAGGATCAGTGCCTGGGCAAGTCTGAATAATTTAAATCTAAATGCGATGAAAACTCAGGCCATTATTATAGGTTCCAGTCCTATTCTTAAATCCATCTCCTTCCTTCCTCCTTTAGTCATCAACGATCGTCCTGTCACATTCAGTTCATCCGTTAAAAACCTAGGAATCACCATAGACAAAAACCTTTCCTGGAAACCCCATATTGCCCTCATCTCCCGTAAGTCAATAGGTACCCTTAAGCTATTTCATCGCTCCCGCCACCTACTCCCACAACCCATCCGCAAGCTCCTTGTATCCTCTCTCATTTTCCCCCACTTTGACTACGGCTGTGTGGTGTACGGAGGCATCCCGATGGTACTCGAGGATAGATTGAAGCGACTCATGAATACGTGCTTAAGATTTGTCTTCGGTACATCAAAGCGATCTCATGTGTCCCACCTTTACGACGAGTTAAAGTGGCTCTTCCCTTCTTTCCGCAGACAATATTTCCTCGGATCTTTCCTATTCCAAACAATCAACACTAGACACCCTTCTTACATATACAGTCTCCTACAGTTTAAACCCGTGGTCCACTCCCAGAAAACAAGATCCCGTGTTTCCGACCTTTATATCCCTTCCCATAGAACTAAGACGTTTGAATATTCCTTTATTTCCCGATCCACAGCCTTCTGGAATTCCTTGCCACCTGAAATCCGTCATGCCTCTTCCTTGTCCTCATTTAAATATCATCTTTACCAATTCCTTCTCACATCCCAAAATGACGTTATACAATAAAATAAATATTGTGAAACAGATTTTGACTGAGGTGAATGATTGATAAAATTTATTGTCTTAATTTTAAAAATCAACCCATGCTTATTTTATTTTATTTTTATTTTCATTTAAATAATGTTGTTTTTTTTTATTTCGTTTTTTCTCAAAATTTTATTTTATTTTTACTTGTTTTAATTTAATTTCACTGAAGATACTGTATATATTCTTTAATATTGATTAATGTAATTTTTGGCCAGATGTAGTTTTAATTTTTTTGTTCATATCTGTTATTCATAAGGGACCTTGTCCCAGAATAAAGTTTACTTTCTATCTATTCTATCTATCTATATCACAACAAAACTTTTTTGAGAACAAAAGAGAAAGAGAGAACAAAAGTAAATGAATAATAAAATGTATTGTTTATTTTTAAAGATATAGATTAACTTACTGATTCTAGTTGACCTACAACTTGCTTTCTTTCACTGAGATTTCTGAAATACCTTTCTTTAACCATAGTCACAAACTGACCCTTTCCTGGAGAATTGGGGTTAATAAACATAATCTTTGGCAATAATTTATCAATATTTTTCACAAAGTCGTCCACAACTGATTCATCTTGATTAACAAGAGCTATAAAATAATATTAATGTACATTAAAATTTAAACATTGCTTAATAATTAATAATATGTATGTTTGGGTAATGTTACAAAATTTTGACTTATAATAATGTATTTTATAATAGTGAAGATATTGTTAACCATTAAATGAACTGTAGAAGTTTGTGGGTGCTGTGGCCATTGATGAAATAACAAACAAATCAAAAAACTTATTTTTATTGTTTACCCATGTTTTAGAAGTATTTATAAATACAGATATTGTACATTGTTATACAAATAATAAGTTGGATAGGGGCAAGGTGGGCGAATGGCTAATATGTGTGCACAGCACTGCGAGTAGCCAGGCAACCAGATAACAGAAGTTATGAGATAAAAAAAAAGTGCGGGTTCGCTTCCCGGTGCCAGAGTGGATTTCAAATTCCCTGCCCTCACCATCCGGCCCAGAGGTCTAAAAGGCGAGGTAGGGAAGAACAAGAAAAAAAAAATTAAGTACAAGAAGTAGAAGTTATGAAGAGCTATTTAGGACTTCAATTGAAGTCTTGGTCAAACAAAAAAAAAAAAGTCTGCCAAGTAAGGTTGTATGGTCTCCTCATCATTTTCATTGGTTACAAAATTACCTATAATTCAACATCCATAATCTTCCGTTTGAAAAAAAAATCTTGGGAAGAAGCAGTTTCTAAAATACAGTAACACCTCAATATTCATGTGTTTGATATTATCATCAACAAACACAAAAATGTGGAAGAATTTCACATTTACCTATTTTTCATTACAAAAGAAATCATGAATTTAAACAGTTCCCAGAACAGTAAATACAGTTAGTGTTGCAATCGGTTTGCGCATATAGACATGTTTTTGCTAGTAAAAGGTACAGAAAAAAATCCATTGAAAAAATTCAATTTTCGTTTGTTTGGTGGTAATAAACCCAATTTTCTCAGTAAGAACAAAAGTAATCTAAGAATAAATACAAAGGAATGAGAGAAGTTAACAAATTACAGAAAAAGGATTATACATATTTAAAAAATATCGATGCTAATATGTCACCTTTAACAATAACTAGTTCTAAAAGGTGTGGAATATAACCCCTTACTACTTTGAAGTTTAAGAGGAAAATCGAGACTACAATGAACTGGTTGAACTTCAAAAGAAACAAACACAATTACAAATAGGACATTATTATTATTTTTTACTGTATGTGATCAAAAGTTAATTTAAATTTACAATTAAATATATTTATTGGTGAATTTTATATACATATATATATATATATATATATATATATATATATATATATATATATATATATATATAGAGAGAGAGAGAGAGAGAGAGAGAGAGAGAGAGAGATAAAACACCCTTAATTACTCAATACCATTGGTTGCAAAAAATCATTAAGTTAAATTTCATAAAACTAAATTACTGAGTATTTTATCATTTTCTCTTCAGTGATATCACAATATTGTTTGATATCTTAAATATCATAATTTTGCATTCATATCTCATTATTTGTTTTTCATTATTGAAACATATTTATCTGATTATTATTACCAATATAAAAATATGTAAAACTGATCATCATATGATTTTTCCATCTTCCTATTTTCTTACTTGTTGCTATCTTGTTTTACCTAAGAAAATCAGATATATCATAAAATTAGTATTCTTATTTGTGTATTATTGCATCAATGATGCACCCGCCTTTCCTCCCCAACCAACTTCTACAATAATGCACTTTAACTTCCTTAAATATTCTTCCTGCTGTAGAGTACATAAAGAAATTAAATCCATATGATTCCGACTTTTATTTACTAGCAATCATTATTATTTTTTTTTTTTTTTAATTTTTTGGAAAGCGTAGACATAATTTTATGAGAACAAATATTTCTTACCGGCAGTTTTTAAGAGCCCTTCTCCATTACTAAACCCTGTAATCCATGGATGTGACACTTTTATTTTCCGCGGATCTTCAGTCATAAAAGCTCCTTCATTTTCTTCCTCCACAACAGGTTGAAAGATTACAGCAGGGTCGAAATCCCATTCCTTAAAATACATTATCTTAAATAGAAATATCTTATAATATAGCAAGAGGAAATTTATGTTATAGGTAATGGAAATATATTTATAAATATAAATTTACAGGTATTATTAAAAAAAATAGATCCTTTCATTTTTTTTCTTCTTCTTGTTGCTTTTACAAAAAAAACAAAAAAAAAAAAAACAGGTTTTGTTGTAAAAATAACGCAATAAGAATGATAATAAATAAAAAAATGTGTGTGTATTACAAATCGCTAGCTTGGTTTGACAAGGTTCTAACTGACAGTTTTGGGCAAAATGAAATTATTGGTGCTTATGACTCACCTTTGTTTACAGCACAAAAGAAACTATTTCTGTGATCGATTGAGAAATAGTCAAACTACTAAAGTGACAATGTTCTATCTACATAAAATTTCTTATCTTATTTGGTTTGACAAGGTTCTTTCTACAATCGTTATCCTGTGTAGTAATTTCTAATGGTAATATGGAAGAGTTTTCGGTGGACATTTATTTAGGAGTCCTCATAATTTGATCAGTTGTATTTTTTGAGGGGGTAATTAGGAATTTTAATGTTCAGCATGTGACATAAAATTTCAACTGTCGCTCACTTCAAAAAGGAGCGGTCGAACAAAAAAACAGAAGACTCAGACTTGTAGATCATTTACTTTTGTTTGAATTTATACAAAATGAATATTATAAGCTATATACCAAAAATATAGCAATTAATGCATGATTTTCAAGTAATAAGCGATAAATGAATTAATATAAACTTTATTTTTCATTTATATACTTATCGGAAAAATCAAGGTATGTAAATATTCTTCATCGGTAGTCTAAAAAAATATCTATCGACAGGTTTTCTAAATTTCCCCCAAATTCTCCACTGATATCCGTTTATGGTCTTTATTTGACCGAAACCAATTGGCCTAATGAGCGTATGCCCCGTAGGAAAAAGAAATATATTTTACTAAAATATACAGAATTAAAACTTGTTTAATTTAGTCTGAATTGAATTAGAGAAAAAAAGAATAATTTTTTGTGTTTTATATGAGACAAATTTTAAATTTGCAAAGCGTATAGGGGTGCTCTTAACATAAATAAATAAATTTTCTAAGCTTTCCAAGTAAAATTACAGAAACTGAATTAATGTTGTATTAAATAGAAATAACATATGATGTCCCTCTGAAAGAATGCTGCTTCTGTCATTGTTATTTTAATTATATTATTTTGTACCAGCAAAAGTAAATGAAGTAATAATTTTGATTGTTAATATATAATGACGGGGTATTTCAGTTCCAGCAAATCAAATCAAAATTATAAATATAAATGACAAGAAAAGATCTTTTTCGATGAACGCTTAGAAATTCATCAGTCTCGGTAATTGATAAAATTAATTTTTTTATTTAAATAATACTGTTAAATAATACTAAGCACGGTTACGGCATCCAATTAAACTGATACTAACAATGAACTAGATTCTGAACCAATTTACCAAAAAAATAACAATTATTCTTCAACCAGTCAAAAATATTATCCCTGGGGGGGAAATCTTTGTATTATAAGATCTTTACCATATAGTTTAATTTAGATATTCATATTCCAAAAAGTAACTGATGTAACACCTTCAAAAAGTTTGTTTGAAGAATAATATATACAAATATTTTTCCATTATTTAAAACCTTTCATCAAAATAAGTTATTACCAGAAAATCAAGTTCAGCAGCTATTAACTTTTCAGCTTCTACTGATTGAAAACATTCCAATAACGGGCTAGAACTACATCCAACAATTTTTGCAACCCCCTCAGCTAATTCTTTTGCACGACCAGGATATGACAGTGCCCATACTCCATCAACAACTCCACTTTGTGAGATAGCTCCTTTTACAAGGTCTGAAAATTTTGATCAAGAAGGTGAAACAAAGTATAATTCAAATTTATTTATAACTTTTTATGAAAATGAAGAAATAAAAAAGAAACTTTTCAACATTTAACAGATTTGGTGAAACTCTATGATAAAGGCTGAAGTACAACTTTAAAAAATAGAAATCTAGTATGAAAGTAAAGTTTGAAAAATTATTGTATATTTTTATCATGTATAATTTTATTATCTACATAAAATTATACATATGTAAGAATACTAATGTAAGAAAACATATTTATTTGGTATAAAGATTCAAAATAAAAGTTTGCAGAAAAGCTATCATACTTCTAATATTTACTCAATTTTAGTGTACTATTGGAAATTAGTGTGATAATTATCATTTCACTTATAAAGTTTTGGGCTGCAGTTTGTGTGACTTTTTAAAATGGAAAGTTTAAAAGTAAATAAAGTGTTTCAAAGAAGGGTGGTGTACTAGATTCATTGAAAAATAAATATCAGCTCAAAAATAGAATTTGTTATAAGGAATAGGTTTTTTTCCCAGTTAATTGCAAAAGATTGTTTAAGTTATTGAAAAATATCAGATTTGGTACATGGGATACAGAAAAAACAAAATTTAAAAATAGGAGGTCAAAGTCATTAAATAAGCCAATATCGTTTCATAACTAATATATTTATAAGGAGCTTTGCTAGACATGAATGGGGTTTATAATGAAATGAAAAAGAGGTTCAACTCGATGAAATGTCATTCTCATCAAGGATGTAAAGGGAAATACCTGTATTCCTAGAAATGACTTCTTTCAAACAAATAAGATTTTTTTTTTTAGAAGTATCTGTATTTTCTGTACAAAACAGAATCTCAAACAAACTTATTTTTAACTTAAATCAAAACAGAATTCTCATAACAAGTAGTTAATTTAAAATTACATCAAAATAATAAAATAAATACCTCTCGACAGTGGAGATGTTATAAGATAATGTGTACTTGCGCCACCAGCACTTTCTCCAAATACTATTACCGAATCTGGATCCCCTCCATAGTCATTAATATTTTCACTTAACCACTTCAGTGCCATTGCTTGATCCTTTAATCCGAAATTTCCAGGTATTAGACGATCTTCAGTGGATAAAAATCCTAAAAAATAATATCAACTTCTCAAAGAGTTGAAATAGCAACTCTTAAATTTAATACTAAATTAACTTCTTAATTATATTTAGATTTAGAAAATAAATAATTAAAAAAATACATGGATTTATTTATCAAATTAAAAATACTCCTGGTCATGCAATGGAAAGCACTCCAATAGAAGCAGCTCATGTGTGCTGTGGTTATTGGCTTTTATTTCATGATGGATCGGTCAACATAATTCTTCTTGGCCCTCTGGCTTTAAAAGGTTGGTAGTGCTTAAATTATTAATGATCCACCTTAACTTCCCTCATTAGAATAAAGAAGTAATTTTAGCTCAATAAATAAGAAAAGATTTTTGTTTAATCACCACAAAAAAGAAATCAATTTTAAGTACTGAAATTATTTAGGCTGAGTCAACTTTCACCAAATATTTATTCTGTTTGATGAAAATACAATGATCCTAAATAATTTCTTTATTTATACGTTGTTTTTACTTTAAACTTAAAATATGCAAAATATTTTATGTTTGCAGATATCTGAAAATAATTGGAAAACAGCGTTTTGTGGACTTTATTTTTTATGAAGCAACATGTTTCAACAAATAAATAGCATATATACCAAGTGTTCCAAGACGATAATGAACTGTAACAAGAATCACATCTTCATCCATGAAAAATGTAGGACTCTCTTTTGGACCAGGTACACCACATCTGAATCCGCCACCATGTATGTACACTAATACAGGGAGATGTTTATTTGGATCAACCTAAAAGAAAAATACGTGAGCTGTTGAATATATACTTAGATAATTTATTTACACTTGCATACAGTTGGGTATTATTCAGTGAAAATTGTAACAAATATAGTTATAAATCCTAAGGAATATTGTAATTGTCACATTTTGAGGTTAACGCATTCAGTAATCGTGAATAATTTCGGTATTTGTATTTGTCCCAGAAGAATACCATTGCAAATACTTCTTTTGTAATAACCATTTTAATAATATAGTTGTGTTCTATAATCTTTTTTAATCAATATCACAATCAGATAAGCCCAGGTATTAAATGTAGATTATGGATTTTTGAATTTCGTAATAAAGACTTTATGATATGATTTTAGTTATAGAGAAGTTATAGTGTGAGTTCATGGCTCAGGAACGATTTGTACCTCCACAATCAAGTGCAGCAATATTTTGATATTTGCAAAAGCATATATGTCCAACATTGACACACATACACATGCACATGCACAATTATTAAAAAGTTATTTTAAAATATGAAACAATTTAACTTATTCATCACATACACTGGGTGTGTAAATATTGAGGAATAAACAGTCTTCTTGGCCTAAGGTCGTGTTTCTTAATTCAGGGACAAATATATATTTCTGAATACAAAGTGGTGCAACTTCAAGTGCAGCAATATTTTGATATTTGCAAAAGCATATATGTCCAACATTGACACACATACACATGCACATGCACAATTATTAAAAAGTTATTTTAAAATATGAAACAATTTAACTTATTCATCACATACACTGGGTGTGTAAATATTGAGGAATAAACAGTCTTCTTGGCCTAAGGTCGTGTTTCTTAATTCAGGGACAAATATATATTTCTGAATACAAAGTGGTGCAACTTCTGTGGCATCAAGTATACCCTTCCAACCATTGTGGGGCTGAGGATTCTAAAACAGAAAAGAAAAATATTCATGAATAAAGATTTTTTAAAAAAATGGTCATTAAATCAATATTCTAATTAATATTTTATCAAGTGCAACAATCCAAAGAAACAAATAATAAAAGCATATATTACTAATATATTTTTAAAAATTTCTCATGTAGTACTCTGAAAAAAATCTTCTAGTATTGAAGTCATTGAACTAATTATATATTAAAAAAATTTCAATTCTTGGTTTTCAACACACGGCCTTAGAAGCATATTTTTCTTATGTTATTGATACACAGGTATGACCTAGTAAAATATAGATGTAGATAGAAATGAGGGAGGATCCATAGTATAGTAAGTTACTGTCTCTGACTTTCAGTGGATAAATTTTTTTTTTTTTAACTCCACCATAGCCTTGTCCGAAGTACAGTTAGAGGAAGGAGAAGAGTTGGGCAAAACATCTACCGCAATGAGACCTCAAAGAGAATCAGTGGATTGAATTTATGGAATAGACCAAGGAATCGTCACACGGGCCTAAGATTTGGACAATGGAATATTTTATCGTTATATACACTAGAGTCACTTGGGTAACTCCTTCAACAATTGGACGAATATAAGATGGACTTAGTCGCCATGCAGGAGGTAAAATGGAAAGGAAAGGGACTCCTGGAGAAGCGTTCTCACACCATCTACTACAGCTGCCAAGAACAGCAACATTCTTCTAGGACAGGATTTGTGGTCAGTGTTAAAACCAGAGATCTGTCAATAGGTTTCGCCCCAGTTAGCCCTGGAATCTTTGTCCTTAGATTAAGAGATAAATACTATAATTATACTGTTCTCAGCAGGTATGCACCAACTAAGGCATCGCCTGATGATAATAAAAAGAAGCCTTTTATGATCAGTTGGACAGAACTATCGACCAAGAGTGATATAAAGGTGGTCATGGGGGATTTGAAGACTAAAGTAGATAAGGAACAAGTGTTTAGATGGACTATAGGAAACTACAACCTCCATGACATTATTGGTAAAAATGGCCGAATGCTTATCAACTTTGCAGCCTCAAAAGACCCGGTTATGGCAAGTTCACTCTTTCCTGAGAAATGTATCCACGAAGTAACATGACACTCTCTGGATGGTAGAATGGTAAATCATTTTGATCATGATTTAATCAGTAGGAGACACGAGCCTAGTTTGATGAGCTGTAGATCCTACCGAGAACCTAATATAGATACCAAAATCAGAGCTAGGATATCTAATTTGATAAAAATCAGGAGAAAGAAAACAGAAGTGATAGAAACGTCTAAGCTGGAAGACCCAGAAGTAAGTGTATCATATCATCGGAAGCTATACGAGATGGTTTTAAGTACAGACATGCCAAATGGCTCTGTAAAGGGACAATGGAATACCCTTTTGACATTACTTGAAGGGGTACATGAAACTGCTTCCATTTGGTGAGACAGAGATTGGTAAGTATCAGCCTGATTTCAGAAGGGGTAGATCTGTGATTGATCAGATATTCTGCATCAGATCCTAGAAAAATCATGAGTACCAGAAGATTACCAACCAGCTGTTTGTCGATTTTCAAAATGCGAATGACAGTATGAAAAGGCCTAAAGTTATATGCAGCCCTCTTCAAAATGGGAATACCGTTAAAACTTCTCCGCCTAATCAGGATGATGCGAGGTGCACTGTTGGGGTACTGTCACACATTTGCCCAGAGATTGTTTCTGCAAGAGGTGTCAGACAGGATGATGGGCTTGCCTGTCTGCTATTTAATTTAGCTTTAGAAAAGATCATACTTGACTTGGGAATATAGACAACAGACACTATTTTTAATAAATTTGTTCAAGCACTTGGTTTTGCAGATAATCTTAAACTAATTGCAGGATCATATTTCAGTCGCTCAAAAATGAGTTTCTTAATTTGTCAGCGACTCATCAATGGCAGATGCTGTTTTGGCCTTAACAAACATCTTAAAAGTGCATCATTATATACAAGTTCAGAATAAAAGGCTCTTTTTATTTTTTAAAGGAAAATCCTTCACTGCATATTTGGAGCTGTGAAGGAGGGTACCATTGGAAAAGGAGAACAAATGCAGAGATTTATGGGCTATATGGGAGAGCAAATTTAATGTTGTATATAAGATTCTACATTATGGTGGCCAAGTTGCAAGGATGCCATTGGAAGAGATCCCAAGGAAGTTGCTGGATGGAAGACTGTAGGGAGAACAGAGGAAGAGGCAGACCTCGATTAAGATGGGAGGATGGAGTAGCAAGGAATGTCCAGGGGCTGCTAGGCACGGACAACTGACGAGAGGTTGCCAGGATAGATCGACCCGGCGAAGACTCATTGAGGAAGTCAAGGACCGCACCGGTCTGTACTGCCACGGAGTAGTATTTATTTTTTTGGGCTTGTTAAAATTAATTTTGTGGCGAATTAGTATGTTTAAAAATGGCCAGTTAAGGGGTAAAGAAAAAGTTTTAACAATTTAAATATAAAATATCACTAGATATCTCTTAAAATATTTATTATCATGATTTTTGTTTTTCTGCTTGACTTGTTATTGAACAAGTCAAAGAAGCCAGGTAGGAATTTTGTGACTTATTTGAAGTAAAGTTTTAGTCATATGCCATGTTATCCTGGTGTTGTGGTGTGTTATCATGTTGTAACGGAGAAACCGTCTTTCAAAAAAACAACAAATGGTGATTTCTTGTGTTTTGAAAAGGCATGTTGGTTTTTGAAAGAAAGATTCTCGGGAAATATAAAAAAAAAAGAGTTCCATTAAGGACTTAAATAGAAGATAAGAGAAAGTACTACAAAGCAGTTTATAATAGTTATCTTCGTAGGACTTAATAGTGTCTACTGTATTTGCGAATGTCCACAATTTGGAAGAAAAAAAACCTGTCTTTTGACTTTAGTCGACCGGTTCTACACCTCCTCATAACTTCTGCAGAGAATTTTTTTTTTTTTCTTGGCATCAGGAGGAGGGAAGGATTTAGTTTCATTTTGGCTGGGAACAAAACATCTTTTCAAATAAGTAAATTTTTATGTGTTTGGCTCTCTCATTTTAACAGGCGCCATTTTGAAACACCCGCTTTGAGCTGGCAGACTAGCGGAAATTTAATGATGATGGACTTCATAACGATGTATGAATAAAAATTTTCTTAAACTAAGGCATCAAATTTCGATCCTACTCTTGGACTACGAGGCATCAATTGTGTAGAGGCTTCCTAATGGATTACTCCGAGCTACTCTCTCATCTCAACCTCCTCGCCTTCGTCATATCATGATCGACTGGTCTCTGTAAGAAGTTCTTTAATGATTAGAGACTATGCGTGGGTACTCAGATCCAAAATCGTGTGTGTATGTATGTGAACAATCCTAGCTCAAAAATGGTAAGTCGTATGAAAGTTAAATTGCATATTTAAGTTTTGTATATACCTGGGATGTTACAGCAATTTTTTTGTCACAATCGGTTAATCGGAAGTGACACTTCATATAATCGATTTTACACATTTTTACGATTTTCTCAAAAATGGCTCTAATGATTTTGATTAAACTTGGTATATCGGTATATTCTTAAACAGTTTTTAATATTGTGCAGGTTTTATTCTCGTTGATGTTCTCTAACGGGGCTTAAATCGCCAATTTTCAATATTCGCTTGCTCTAAAGTACCTTTATTTTTTTTATTTAATATAATTAACCATTTCAAATTAACCTTTGACAAAAAAATAGTTCAATTTTTCTTTTCAGATATTATTTAATATTTAATTGTATAGATTACCACCATATAAATATTAAAATTTGTATATATAAGGGTACTTAAACAAATAAAAATACCCACAATGAAATATAAATAAATAAATAAAGCGTCTATAATTTTTACTTTCACTTTCCCTTTGTCTGACAATTTCTGCTAAGATGAGGGTGGTAAGTGAAAGTTGTCGGATCGCGCACCGCACCAGATTTTTTTTTATAGCTGTTGGTTCGATTTGGCTCAAAGGAGGATTGTATGAATACAATGGCTGTGAAAAATTGATTCTGTTTCGATTCATATGCATTACTTCCTTTAAAATACGGACAAACCTATTTTTTTCATACGCTCATATTTTGAAAATGGCTTGTTCGATTTGGCTCAAAGTTCAGGAAATTTCATTCGGTTTGGCCCAAAATTAAGGAAATTTTGTGAAACAATGTATAAATGATCACGTGTGTATTACTTTCACCAAATTCCATTGAACAAGTAAAATTAAAGTAACTAATCGTGAAATATATATTGGTGGAAAATGTGGTAATAAAAATAAAATTTTAACTGCATTCTGTAACGTTTCCAATAATTCTGTAGCAATTTTGATTCGGTAAAATTTTCAGAGATTGAGTGTGTGTATTGTATACCTAGATGGGCCAATATATATTATAAAAAAATCTGTACTTCTTTTCCTCTGAAAGTCAACGACAATAACTTATTAAACTAACCATACAATGGACTGTACTCCCTCATTCCTATCTACATCTATATTTCACAAGCACAACACCTGTGTGTTACTAAGATAAGAAAGATATACTTCTATTGCCAGCTGTTCAAAACTAGCAATTGTCTACTTCTTAAGCGAGAGTTTTTCCATGACAAGAGCGTACTTCGAAAACGGCTTGTCCTGTAGAATTTTCTTCCCACATGAAAATTAAATCATAGAACTCGAAATGTAGGTAATTATAGCAATGTTGAGTAAGCTATATGCAACTTGGTAGACTTTTGTTATAAATGTTGGTTTTATGATGGCAGGAAATAATTAACAATGAAAGCTTATTTTCAAATTGGCCCTCTCAGAAAACAATTTATGCAAGTAACGATATTTGAACCGTTTGGACTCTGGTCACGATAAAAAAAAATTATTATACAACTGCACTCTTACTTTTGTTTTAAAAAGCAATCGACCTTGGTGGTTACATCAATGTCTGTTTCTATTGGAAAAAAGCCAAACTCATGATCAATTCACATAAGAAATGATTGATTTATT